TTGATATTTAAAGACGTGTAAAATAAACAGACATAGACAGGTGCAACCTAAAACCTCAGTCAGAGATAACTGCTATCACAACTGCTATCAGCTCTCTGTAAACTCAGGCTTTCTGCTCCAAGTGCGTTCACATAAAAGAGGGCTGATGACTCCCATCAGACACATTATCAGAGGAACAGGTAACATGCTGTAAAAAACAAACAAACAAACAAACAAAAAAAAAACAAAACACTGAGCTCTAAGGTGACTCTCAAATGCTTTCATTGAGGCTTTTCCCGTCAATAAGCTCCAAGTGGGATTTGGATAATACAGCAGCCTTTTGAAAGCATGTCAGCCTTCTGATGGAGAGCTGTAAATCACTTTAGCTTATGGTCAAATCAAATTGAAATATTTTCTGTTAACTGAATATTAGTGCTGTTCAATAGCCTTCAAAAGGCTGCTGTATTATCCAAATCCCACTTGGAGCTTATTGACGGGAAAAGCCTCAATGAAAGCATTTGAGAGTCACCTTAGAGCTCAGCGTACCTCACTAACTCATTGTTATTGTATCTTTATTTCAGACATATACAGAAAAAATGATATATACAAGTACACATACTTGCATTTACATGTACAAATACAAATATATATGTAAATACACACGTATGTGCTCAGACAAAACAAAAAAAAGAAAATAAATAAAATAAAATAGAGTCTAAATGACATGAAATTACAATTATTAAGTCTGAAATGGAGTAGAAAGAAGTATAACATACTTATTAGCATTAACACTGCTTCATATAACACCTCTGGGATCAGAAGTTTATGAATTAGCACACACAATCTTAATCAGCAGTTTTTATAATCAACTGATCAATGGGCCATCAGGATTGATCAGCAGAATGAGTTTGAACTCATTAGTGGAGATGATCTTGAGCAAACACTAAAAATCTCATGCTATTCTCAGTGGGTAGCTCAGCTGGTGTGGACGAGTGAGAGAAAGTGGAGTTAAGCGAAGTGCTGTTACAACCAACTTAAACCGAGTAACGTATTAATGATGAATAAGATTAAGTAAGAAATACAAATCAAAATTACGCCGTCTCTTAGGATCAACTAAGTGGGACATCCGAGAGCAGAACTGTGACTAAAGAACCACAGTTAAACATCTCTCTGCCATTTCACCACATCCATGCTGTGTAGCAAGCATGTCAAGATGTTATCAGTGGCATTCGAGCACAGTGAAACAGTCTCTTTTACAAACAAGTGTTTGTGAGTAAGAAAGTAAACGCCATCAGCGTTAGCTGAGCCTCATAGATACTTCTTAACCACACACCATGTTCTTAAATGTGAGAACAAACAACATCCATTCAAGTCTCTCCAAATTGCTGCTCAAGACTCTGCAGTACTTTTCTGTTTTGTGTTTATTTTAGTAGCTAATCTCAGTTTATGTATTTAACAAGTTTATGTCGAATTAAAATGGATGAATTATGTCATAGCAAAACAACGTTGCATGGAAATTGTTCCAACTTACCCATTATTGCATGCTCTCAATAATACAGTGATATATTGTTCCTTTTATTAATTTTGTTCCTTGTAAGGTGACCTTGGGTTTCTGAAAGGTGCCCTCAAATAAAATGCATTATTATAAATATATTTGCAGCCTGATAATTGAGGATTAATGTCCCTGAATATAAAGCAAGTGCAGTAATTGACCAGTCTGGTGGCCCACCCACCCACCCATCCATGTCACGGGGGGCTGGAGTCTATTCCAGCTACTATGGGGTGAGAGTTGGGGTACACCCTGGACAGGTCTAGTCACAGTCTGTCACAAAGCTAACACAGAGAGACAGACAACCATTCGCACTCACATTCACATTTAGAATCATCAGTTAACCTGACCTTGCTATCTGCATGTCTTTGGACTGTGGGAGGAAGCCAGAGTACCCGGAGAGAACCCGCACAAGCACGGGGAGAACATGCAAACTCCACACAGAAAGGCCCCGGCCAGATGGTGGGGTCTAACTGAGGACCTGGTAGTGTTTGACTTTGCTTATTTTTTGTTTTATCTGTAATAGTACTTAAGACTACACAAGGAGTATGCAGTGCTAACATTGCTGTCATTTTAATGTGGCACTTCAACTATGGAAGCCCCCCATTGATGACATTTGCACATATCTACTACTGATGTTTCAATACATATCTCAGATAACTGACCAAAGACTGAGTGGAATTGCACTGATGAACAGCCATCACGGAAATTATGCAGAGATACAGCGAGAAGATGCAGAATTAACTTAAACAGTAGGAAGTAGGAACCACTAAACCACTAAAATTGTTTTTCTGTTCAGGAATTAAAGTAAATAACTCTAAATTGGCATTTTAATCAGAAGATCGGAAGATCCAGTACTAGAGTGTACTTAATGAAGTGTAGCGCAACAATATTAAGATGTTGTCAGGCAGAGTAATCAGAGGTTTGTGGTAATGGTGCAGAGGAAATGTCCTTGTATGATATTAAGTCCAACTGACTAGACATTAGACATTACATGCAGATGAAAAGGATTGACAGACCAGTTTCTCTCTCTCCAGGTCCCTCCTGTAACGGTCCTGGAGTTCAGTCTGGGTCTGAAGGCGTCTTTTTTCTTCTTCTGCTGCGTTAGCTGCTGCCTCCTCCAGAGCCTGCCAAAAGAGCAACAGACAAGCCAAAAATGAAATGCAGAGTGGACTAAAGCAGTATGTGAAATCACACATTTCACACCCTTGTAGTGTCAGATTAAAGAGACTGTTTGGTGGCGTTACTTTTACATACACTAAAATGTCACACTCTAGTCAGGGATATAACCAGGGCTTAGAAAAGCTACACTTCTCAATAAATTAAAGTCCTAAAACAGCCAAAAAAAAAAAAAGCCTGGAATTTTGAAAACTGTAAAGGGCTTCCATCTTCCTGCTTTTGCAGAAGTTGTGCTACACATGTTTGTGTGCTGTGGGTATATAATAATGACATAAAACAAGATAAAGCGTGGACTTCATCCTTTATTGGAATTAAAATAACACAAGGCAAAAGTTACCTACTATTAACTGGCTTTACCTTGGATTCACTCCTCGTACCTTAACCAATCAGCAGCCATCATTCTTAATGAGTCATGCTACAGTCCAACTCGACACACTGGGGGGAATGATATCAATTTGGCAACATGCCCAGTGTTTTCAAAGAAAAAGCCATCTAGAGCACACATGTGCCAGTTTGTGTTTTGTTTTGGCGTCCTCATAGCTATGGCCGTAATTGTAATACTTAATTTGTACAGTTTCTCCTTAAATTGCCATCATTTTGAGACATATTGCCAAGTGAAGTCTAGTTGAGGAGATAAATGATTTTGCAGTAAAGGTCAGGGATTGGCTAAAAACCAACCAGAACTGTAGCTCTTCCAATTTAATTTTCCCTTCTAAAGCCTGGTAATTATATCTATTATGTTTTATTTTGTTTTAAGTGTCTAGTAGTTTTATGAAACTGCTGTGCAGACAAAAGGTTAGCCAAGGATGAGAACTGAAAAGTAGTAACACATATATAGTATGCAGCACACCAGTTTCATGCTCCATTTTGAAACTGGCGAACTACATCATAACTTTTAAATAAACTTGAAATTACAAAGCAGTTTCTCTATTTTAAAAACCACAGAATGAAAAAAGGAAAACAAACAACGAAACTGGTGTGAGGGGGAAGTTTCAGCAAAGACCTGTCCGGGGGGGGGGATTGCTGCATGTTTAATTTTAGTTGTAAGACTGTGGTTTATAACAGACTAACAGAAATGTATGCGCTACATCTGAATAGGTATGCAAATGTAACACCAGCAGCGCTCAATGAAGGCAAATTGAGCATGAAGTAATACACACTGAAATAATTTGTCCTGCAGAGTTCAGACTTCTTGGAATAACAAATGTTTTACCATTGCAGTTGCATTTTATTTTTGGGGTTTTTTTTTTTGGTTTTTATTAGAAAAAAAGTAAAAGAAGAAGAAGATTACTAGTCATTCTCTCATGACCTTCCACCTTCCACAAAAAGTTGATTCTGTTCATCTGGACGTAGCATTTTCAGTGGGAGAAATGTTTCATCACTCATCCAAGTGACTTCTTCAGTCTCAGCTGACTGCAGGTTTCCCCAAACTTATAAAAAGTACCTTTGCACAATGACTGAAACTAGCACCACTGAAGGAAAAATGGGCTGGCAGGTTAGTTTCTTGATAATTAATATGCAAATTGTCATGACCATTGATCAAAGACCACTGATCAGTGCGAATGGTACCACGAGTACCTCATTGTTTTGGGGTTTAAAAACCACAGAGATGTGGGAGTTTTCACTTAGGCAGCGGCTGTCCTTCTCTCCTGGAGCGTTCTTTTGGCGCCTTCTCAGCTTTGACAAATGTCCAGCTGGGATAACCACATTTACTCAGGACCTTCTTGATATGATGTTCTTCTGCTTCCCTGGCCTCTGTGACTGTAGCATCCTGATGACATACAGTTTGTGCTCCAGTGGATGATGAGAGTCAAACCTGTTTATAAGGTTGGGGAAACCTGCAGTCAGCTGAGAGTGAAGAAGTCACTTGGATGAGTAACGAAACTCTTTCTCCAAGTCAAGTCAGCTCTAAAAACTTTATAGGGTCCGCTTTTGTATTTATAAAAGAAGCAAAGGAAGCAAAAGAAGCAAAGGTTCAAAAATACTAGAATAATACTAACTAAAATAAAATACATTTAAAAGTCCAACCTAGCCTATATACTGCAAGGTTAAACTTTTATAATTGCTGCCATTGTTTTTGTTCTACAATCATTTAAATACAATGTGAAGCGTATAAATGGCAACACAGTCTTGTGCGAACTGTGTGTAGCTGTTTTTGGCCTCTTGGCATCTCACTGACCAATGAGGAATGTGACACCAACAATACTAGAATATACAAACAATTTATGAAAACACATTTTTAAGTTTGCCGGCTGTTGGTGTAGAGCGTGGGTTTGTTTCGAAACAAAACCGAACACAACAGGGAAAAACATTTCGGTAAATTAAACTGTGCTGGTGGTTGATCAATAACCTCTTTTTGCTTCACCCCTGATGTGAACTGTCTGCAGACTGTCACAGTGCTCCTCTTATAGCAGCAGTATGTGAGAATGTCCACTGTATGCCTGTGTGTGGCTACACATGTTTGTGTTCATTGTTAATTCATGAAGCTAGCTATGCGAGTTGTACACTTACACCTCAATGGTAGATTGTTGTGAGTTTACAGGTCGCTGTTCCAGACAAAGAACTCTTGTCCTGTTCTTCAGTCTGTTAGACGAGCGCAGCGTGAACCAGTCTTACTGCAACTTAGCTTTACTCACAATGCTGGCTGCAAACCCCCCGGTCCTACACTGAACTGAAAACCTAACCACTGATACGTGGTCAATGCGGTGATTTAAGTTTAACTAAACAATACCATTCTCAGAAGATTTATCTGACCCCTTGAGTCAGATAAGAGGCCTTTTTTGATTATTGGTAGCCCATCTGCTTTGCAATGATGTTTTTTTCCTATAACAAAAATCACAAAATCAAACAGTTGAGAGACTATTTCATAACATTTGTAACATTTGCCCACCTTGCAGAAGGACAGTACAAACAAACAGATTTCTCACAGATGAATAACAGCAATGACAAAAATACTTAACCACGACAATATTGAAGATGGCACTTCCTGTTATTTCTCAGAATTAGCAGCGAGCAGCCACTAATTATCAGCATTTGAAAAAGACAAATGAAATTGCAGAAACCAGCAGTGTTGGTAGCAGCAGAGAGAGTGAGGTTTAGCAGGAGGATTTTCTGGAGCAACATGTTTCATGGCTGCTGCACCCCCTGCCCCCACATTGCTCTTTCAATCCACATTCCTTCATTTGCAGGAAGTGATGGACTATTTATTAGTCAGAGACTGCAGGGTGGAGCTGGTCTATTGTTGGCATTCATGAGCTGGCAGAAAGTTTCAGTGTAACGAGCGTTTTTAGTTGACCTACTTCAAATAGTTGCATGAGACGCGTGTGTAACCCTGCAGTGTGCGACACAAAAATACACTGTCACTTCTAAAAGTGCGCAAGATAATGATTATTGAATGATTATTTTAAGTTGTGATGCAATCTTAGAGGAATGTTGCTGGATTGGTTGGTTGGTTTTGACACTTAATTTAAACAATGACAGCCGTAACGACATACCTGACTGAAAACAGTGGTTCCTTCTCGGCCACAAACCGCCTTCTTAACACTGGTTAAGCAAGATGCAATCCCAACATTATACCATAATAGTTAGAGACATCTTTGTATTTCTAAGTTGCTGTATCTGTGCCAGTCAGCTCTATCCGTTTAGTTTTATCACTTCACAGTGCAGTGGGTGGCCACAGAGAGAGGTGGCAGGCTGCTGACCATAGCCAGTATATGTCTATGGTCTGGGGGGGGAGAGATTTATGAAAACAGTTATAGTTGTAACCAGACTGGACAATTTTGTTAGCTCCATTACCATCCATCCAGTTTTTGCTAATATCTAAGGCCAGGTCACACAGAAGCAGCAGTCTAAGAAGAGAAGCCCAAACCCCCTTCTCCCCAGCCACCTCCAACGCATCTGTGGGAAAACTGAGGCAATCCCAGGTCAGCTGAGAAATAATCTCCCCAGTGTGTCCTTGGTCTACACCAGGGCTTCCTCTTGACAGGACATGCCTGGAACACCTCATCAAGGAAACATCCTACACTTATGCCTGAACCACTTCAACTGACTTTTTTCAGTGTGCAAAAGTGGCGGCTGTTTGAGTCCGTCTCGAATGGCTTAACTCCTCACCTCAGCTCTGAGCAAGAAGCCAGCCTCTACAGGAAGCTCGTTTTCACAGCTAGTATCCACAAACTCGTTCTTTTGGTCACTACCCCACAGTTTGTAACCACAGATGAAGCTAGGAGTATATCAACACTTGGCTATGCCTGTTCATAAAAAATGATGACCGTAATCAATTACAGAGGGCAGCCCTGGCAGAGTTCAACACCCACTAGGGCTCACGTCCTGCAACGCAGACCAACTTCTCACTGTGGTCGTACAGGGACCGAATCGCTCATAAAAACAAACCAAATAAACCATACATCCAAAGAACCTCAAAAAAACCATCCACCGGGGCTTAAAGGTGTGATTGCTTTGAAAGTAGCTAGGCTCATCAGAGGCCTTCTTTCTTTGGGCTTCCCCAGCTTTAACACTGCAAATTCTTCACACATACAGTTGAGCCCTGAACATTTCTAAGACTTCTCTGACATGAATGTGAGAACAAATTAGCTGGTCTTTAACCACCAGTGTGCTGTAACATTGTGTGAATAGTTTGACAATGAGGTGCAGTTGCTCCAGTGCACTTTATGCTGGATGCTGAAAGAGGAATGCCTCCCATCCTTTCTCATTCTTTAATCTGAGACTGAATACTGAGCTGTGCTTTGAGGAGTGCCGTTTTCGAACATACAAGTTCAGAACTTCAGTGAGGGAAATCCCTCAGGTTTGTCTCGCTCACTAAAGAATGCACAGACGTTTTTTCTGCTCCATTCATAATTAATTTTATTTAAACATCCTGGTGTTCATCTGTGATCCAACAAAAAATAAACTTTTATTTTTATTTTTTTTAGCTCAGAGGATGAAAGTCAGTGGCTTCACTTTACATGGCGTTTCTAATGTCTGAGGATCACATGTTGATCTTGTACTATATGTACAGTTTGCACTTATTATAGCTTTTTGTCTCTAAATGATACACACTCACTCAGTTTTTCCCATGAAGATATGCACTTCTGTCTCACATGACCACAAAGATCAACTTCCCTGTTTCAATACAAACAGCATAGTGAAGATGGCCAAGAGCTGCCCTAAGTCTCTCGTTTTTTCCTCCCCCGCTTTGCTTTTTGTGATTTTAAGTGATTATCACTTCTGTTCATTTTCATCTTTGAGATGCTACGAAACAGAAGTGATAGTGAGGCAGACTTTTTCTGACCACACTGGATCCACGGGGGACTATTGACTGTGAGTTTCATCTCCTACCTTCCTCATATTTTCCAGTTCATGCTGCTTGGCCTCATTGGCTGTCTGTAGCTCCCTCATCCTCAGCTCCAGTTCTTCCTGTTCAGCCTGCTGTTTCAGCCGCAGCTCTCTGCGCTTCTGTCGAGCCTCGCGGTGCGGCGCTGGTCTGCCCTGACGCAGCAGAGTCACGCAGTTCTGAACAGCTGAGACATGGATATCACACAAAAAATCTTTAGTTTTAGAGCTTCCTGTTTCATGTTTTGGTTTTTCCAAGCCCCTCTACGAATTGCCACTTTTTTCCTGGAGGACAGTTTTGCATGCCAGCGTGATCCCAGCAGCTATGTTGTCAGGGGCAATTACTCAAGGCAAACTGGTCCTGGGTGAGAGGTCACAGTAAGGAGGCTGAGCTTTAACCTATGGGGTCTGGCCGGGCACAGTCTGAAAGCACTACACGGGCTTGCTCTCTTGTGGGACCACCACCAACAGTAGGGGATATGAGAGTTTGGTGTTTTGTGGATCAGGCTGCAGTCATGGTTGGATGCTCTCACTGTCCAATCCACAGATGACAAATCTAGCTTTAGGAACATGGAATATCACCTCTTTGGGCAGGAAGGCACCTGAGCCAGTGTGAGGGGTTGGGAAGTACTGCTAGAGATAGTTGGGCTTGCCTCAATACACAGCCTGGGCTCTATACTACTCTGGAGTTGCCATTGCTCAAAGGCAATCGTCAGGGAGTCAGGGGTAGGTATATGCATGGGATGACTGAAGGTGCCCCTTCCGGGGACTCCATGGTCCCCTTCAGGCAACTTGAATTGTCACTAGATTAGTGACGACACAATTTGGGGATATGCGAATGGGAGGGACCGCCTGAGCCATGGTTTGCTTGTCCATAATGACCATCGTGTTTGAACATACAATTCACGATGTTCATATGTGCACTTGGCCCGAGGACATCCTAAGTCACAGGTCGATGATTGATTCTGTAAGCATTTCATCAGACCTGCAGCTACATGTCCCGGGTATTCGCATAAAGAGAGAAATTCAGCTGTTAGTGAGGTTACACTGAATAGTGAGAGAGAGAAAAAGAGATGGCTGAAACAAGCAGTGGACATGAGCTTCCTCCAAAGGGTGGCTGGAGTGTCCCTTAGGGATACAGTGAGGAGCTCAGTCATTTGGGAATGGTTCAAAGTAGAGCTGCTACTTGTCCGCATCAAAAAGGCGTAAGATGAAGTAGTTCAGTCATCCGAACAACTACAGCAGGCTCCTGGATACCTTGTAGGTCAGGTGTTTTGAGCAGAACAAAGTTTTTCTTTAACTGTGTCAAACTACCAGAGGTTTATTTGCAGTAGAAGTAGTGAACAACTAATTTACTGTTTATTAACAATGAGGCAGACAGCAGAAAACTATTATCGAACTACTATCGAGCAGCTTCGATAGAACTCACCTTGGATCCACTCCTGCTTCTTCTTCTTGTCTGATGCACTGATTTCAAAGCTTTTTTGTGATGACTTGATGAGAAAGAGGCACTTCTTTCCCTCTTTATCTTGTAAATGCTGCAAAGAAAAACAGAATTTACAAGCTGAAAATACACAGACAAAAAACAATAACAAAACATACTTCTTCTTCTTTTTTTATATAAACAGTTCTCTGGTCTTTTATTTCTTATGTGCATAGGGAATTAATCTCTGTGTTTCACGTGTTTATATTCTCTTCCGCTGCTGTTCTCATAGAAATCAAGGCCAGGAAGCTGAAACAGAGTTTTACTACAGACAGCAGGATCTTGCCTCCACACTGCAGTTTCCATCCAACAGGACGTCTCCTTTCTTTTCAGCCAAGTCTTCACCAACATAGTATGAGATTGTGTTTGGCTTCAGCACAAACCAGCGCTCCGTCCAGTTCTTTCTCTTGTGCCCTTTCTTCATCATATAGCCCTGCAGTAAGACAGAATACTTAGCGGCTTAAATAACATTCACATCCTCCTAACAGCAAGCTTTATTATAAATCAATAATTAACACTTTATGAACTGAAATTTCATTATTTGACACCATTTTTAATCAATGATTTGCATTTGTGGTTAGAATTTAATCTGTAATTATTTTCAAAATGCTTGGTCCCAAACAGCGTTTTTCTTTTTCTTTTAAAAAAAAAAAAAAACAGTTTTAGTTTTTAGCAAAATTAATCGAAATATCGAAAAACTTGCGCATTTTTGGGGCCTTTTTTCTACTGTGAACTAAGACATTTAGAGGGATTTTGACATTTTCATTGCCAGGTGCTAAATGTGCTGTTTAATTTAGTGTGAAATCTATGATTCCTATCATTTAAAGTGGTATATGCTTCACAGTTATAACAGTAGGCTGCATCGGCACTCTTTGAAATCAGAGTAAGATGACAGAGCTTTGCGATGAAGACTGTACCATCAGTCTGTGCTGATGTGCTGCCCACCTGTTTGAGCACGTCAAGAATGAGTTCCTGGTAGACTTCACCGATTCCCATTGAGAGCGTCTGATGGTCCATGCCCTTACTGAAGTGACCCGACCCAACTAGGCTGATGAGCTCCCATGCATTCAGACACTGCTGCTTTGAGTTCAGCTGCAGCTTATAGTCCTCGAAGCGCTCCTCCACCCAGCTTCCCCCCATCGCCTCTGTCAACTTACGCAAGAAGTACTCAATCTGTACATGCAGACATGCACACAGGCACACAAAGACACACACACACACACATCACATGCACAGAGTCATTTTTCATCAAAAGCACAGCTGTTCATTTACAATAAAAGATAACTTTCACCATTTCTGCATTTTTCCCGCAATTCATCCTTACATGACTGCAGCAGCAAAATGTGCATTTATTTTGCAAACAATCTTCCTGTGTTTGAGTTCTGATGTTTTTCCTACACAACAATAAATCTTCCAGCATTTGTAAAAGAACAGGAAGCTCGAAACTTCCTTTTCTGCTCTTGAGCAACGGACATTTTCCACTGGCTACTAAGTGACACAGTGAAGGGACACGTACAATATCATATGCTGCAAATAAAACAGACTACAGATAAATAAAAGGCTGTTCACGCCAGTGCTTCCCCTTTCAGTAAGCACTTTGAAAAAAAGTGCTCCAGTCTAAAATGTAAGATGTTTACCGTCTCTCTTGAAAAAAAACAACAACAAACAAACAAACAAACAAACAAACAAACAAAAAAAAATCTTAATGTGATTCCTGAACTAGTCAATGGCATCCTTACAGGTTAGCGTCTTACTGCGTAGCTTCTGAAGCACTTTTGATGCAAAGACAGCTCACAAAGACATTTGTGTTCAGTGCTGTGGTTTTATGACGGCAGGGTGCAAGGCAGGGCTTTTGCCAGAAAAGTGGTTAAGCTAATTATATGGCATAGATGGCATCCCAAAGCTGCGTCTTTACACACAATTGGTGTGGTCTGAATTTTTTCAAAACCTAATTTAGCTTCTTCAGTTTCTTTCGATGTTGCTTTACTCCATGTTAAGTTGGAGATGTGAACAAAAAAACGACACCTAGAACTCGCCCAGAATTTGTCTGTTCCTTTCTAGAGCCATCTGATGTTTACATGAATTGCTTTCTTTTAATGTCACTTCACTTACATCCAGACCAGAGCTACATACCAGTGAATGAGATCTCAAGTAGGACGGAGCGGTAAAACAACTGCAAAGTGCTTTTGTTTTAATGTACACAAGGCTTTCTAAAAGTATTCACATTTAATTTAACATCTATTTACACAACACATCAACAGCCTTGGTTACTTATATGTGCACTAAAGAGCACTTCAAAGTGGATCTGCAAAAGTACAAAACCCAGTAATGTCACGTTTTTCAATTTAATGATTTAATCAGTAAATCTAAGACTAACCAACCCTCTATGACACCAACTGAGGGAAGGGCCACAAAAAACACAACAGCATCCCATGTTTTCTGACCTCCTCAGTGACGATGATCAGGGGGTATCTGTCTTCAGACAGGAAGTTGAAAATGCACCAGATCTTGAAGGCGTCATCGTTACAGATCTTCAGCTCATTCTGCTCCAGGTTCTTCCTGTACGACAACGTCCAGCACATTTTGTTGAAGTCCTGACGGTTAAAGTTATCCTTCACCTGTGGCACAACAGAAACATCATCAGGTTATGTTCCACACCAAAGGAGAACAGTCTGCTTTTCCAGACGCTCACATTTTTGCAAAGCTGACGTTTCAAACCAGAGCATAGATATTATACATATGGGATATATCCATTTATCAAATCCATAACACACAACTTTAATAACATACAACATGTGTTTCATCTACTAGCACATGCCCATGCTAGTTAGTCCAGGGTGGCTAGGCAACATGATGTCATAAGGGTATCTAAGATGTACATGTGTGCAGGAGTGTTTGGAAAGACAGATTGTGTATTACAACGCACACAGAAACTGAGAAGGGACAAAAAGAAAAAGTGCCTCTAGGGTTTAAATTCCAGAGCCAAATGGGAGGAAAGGTCTAGTCAGTGGTGTGGAGGGGATGTTTTCTTTGAGCCAGTGAACAGTAGCATCTCCATGGAGACTACCGGCTGGCTGAGTGCGCAGTCGTTTGGATGAGAAGCACATCTTGTCCTGCTGGCAGTCACCCCGCAAATCCAACCACCAACAAATGATCCCAAAACATCTTCCAACGTTTGCCGCAATTAGAAACCAGTCAACCCTGTAACTGGATTCATCAACTATTATATTTACAGTCCATGAATCCTGCTCAAAACCATGGTTACGGCACCTGCAGTGGCCATCACACAGTTTTTAGAAACACTGGTCTAAGGTGGCAGTCAGGACATTCAGTAGCACTTCATATTGCTGTTGAACACTCAGCCTTTAACACAGTACAAACGTTAGTGGAACTACCACCTATTTTCATCTCCAGATTTTTTATTTTTATTCTGAGTAGCTTTGCATTATTCTCCATTTAAAATAATCCTCGATTTTCTTACACTAAGCCTTAGTGGAGACCCCAGTTAACTGGCTAACAAACCATTTAGCTCCATCCCCTATAAGTTGTCTTTATTTTAAAGACGACTGTTCAAATAGGTTTGTAGCTTCTGTGGGCACAACTTAGCTGACCATACTAAGGATATCCTCTATGACATCATACAGAGGCAAGAGTGTCGGGGGGGAGGGATGTGTGAAACCAAGTGTGTACAAATCTGGAGACTGAGCTTACAACAGGCATTATTTGTCATTTGCTGACCTCATTACTTGAAATTCCCCCCCCCAGTTTATCATCTCAGAGAGGCGGCCTGGTGTTTACTCATAGCCTGTCTTTGTTTGAGTTCTTTAAGCCGAAGAACTGAGCGCTTCAGGGAAGGAACACCTAAAAGTATCACCTCCAGCTGAACTCTCCAGAATGCGCTTTGCAGTCCCCTTTACAGAGCTGCGTGGGAAGTCACTCCTTTTTCCTCTGTGTAAATGTGGGGAAGACTAACGCTTTCAGAGGGAGGGGCTCAGCCACACTAGCATGCACAACACTAAAATAAGCAAGTAGTTATTTACAAAGCAAATAGCTTCTGAGCTTGTGTGTTTTATCAAATGCTTCATTAAAATGTCCTTTTTTCCACAGGCAACATACAGAACAGTGAGTTTGTGAATTATGTTCACATGATAATCAACCTTTGACTTGTGTGCTGCTTCAGCTAGTCCCGAACCTGAATCCATTTTCCATGCTGTGACAGAGAGAGACGAACATCCAGCTTGAAAGCCTGAACGGTTCTCAAGATCTGATGTAACCTGCTATTGTGCTCATTTAGGTTGAGTGCCTGTGTAGAAACCTGTCTTAGATGTTAAAGCGATAGTACTTCCTCAACCTTGGAGAGTGACCCTGAAGCATTTACAGATACTTTTAAAATTAAAAATGATTGCTTTACTCAACACAGCAAACTAGGACTAAACGTCAATTAATTTTGACGTCTAAATGAAGTAAAACACTTTTTTTAAATTCACAAAAAACAAAACAAACATTCCTGTAGTGTATTACTCTTTTCTCTGTGCGTCTATGTTCTAAATTATTATTTTAAAACAAGAAGCACTCAGACAGCACAAACTTCAGCAAATTCAACTCACCCCCTATTCTCTGTATTTATCACTTTGGCCTTCAGCTCAATCTATTGACCTTGAGGGAAAGGTCAGAGGTCAAATGTGACATAATATTTTAAATCTTTATACAGTCATCGCAAACATGACTCCACTGCACACACCTACAAAGATTTATCAGAATTTGTTCAAACTTCTCCAGCTACTGTGTTTACAGAAACACGACAGCCAAACTTCTCTTTAATTGGCCTCTGAATCGTCACCTCTCCCGTCAGAGATAGCCAATCTCTATGACATCATTCAGAGCCTTTTCAAGCCAAGTCAGAAGAAAATGCAAAAATAAAAAAAATGAGAGAAAATAAAAATGGATTTCATGTACCTTAGCAGCGATAAATTAAGTGTGTATTCAATAATAAATAAGCAAAATAGATATCCTCATTTACTTTAGCTATGCAGATTAAATGTGGGTTTGCCTACCAGTAACTTATCAGTCATGCTGATTCTCTGTACGTGTTCAGATGGTACAAATGTGTATTGAATATCTGTTGCTGTTGGGAGCTTTCTGGAGATTACTAAAGCTGAAAACAGCTGCAGGTCTTTTGTGAAGGTGAAATTACTGGCAACTATTAGAGACTGTAACAGGTAAAGATTGTTTGTGAGGCTAAAATAGATTTTGGGTGGAGTAAAATGAAAAAAAAGTTACATGCTCGTGTAAAGATGCTCCTCCCATCATGAATATTTTGCCATTCGTCAATGGTTCTGGCAGTAAGTCTGACTCAAAAACAACATATTCTGCTGTTGTTATAAATAAGGATGAGTCTCTCATGATGATGTGTTCAGGTAGCTGAATGTGTTCGCATCATGTTTGGGGTTCTGAATGCTTAATCACTCTGCAGCAGCACAAAATGCGAGGATAGGGTAAAGGGGAAGTCGTGAAAGCAGGATTTGTTACGAAAGAGCTTCTCTTTGTGTCACGCTCGTCTTGTTTTCGTTTTGTTCTTAGCTCGCTGGTTTTTCGCTGTCTTTTCTCCTCCTCCCCTTCAAGATCCCTCTCGGTCTTTTCCCTTCAACAGTGAGATCCTTGTCAGCAAATCGCCCCCTCCCCTCCACTGCCACATGTTCATTAGGATTCAGGATCTAAACTTCAACCTTATCTCACACCGAAACAACACAACACAGAAATGTAGCAAGTCGAGTCAGACTAGAATAAACTGGAAGACAAAAAGAAAATCTTGTTACCAGTTCAACCGGACTGTCTGCTTTTTAAAAATCACAGACTTCAGTGGAATGAGAATCACACCAGTGACAGGAGCAGCTGAATGTTCAACACGGTATGATGTGATATGAAAGCATTTGAAAAGGGGGAAGTAGTAACAAAGTGCTTTTTTAATGGTCCACAGCACAAAACAGGTGCTGTTAGGATGGTTCATCACCAACATCTGGCATCAACATCCTCATTTCTTTAAAAAAAAAAAAAAAAAAGCGTAATAAATATACATAAATCTAAACACAGACTGCTGAGGCTCTCATTAGCAGATAACTAAAGGTGTATATTGCAATACAACTATGAAAGCATCCTCCAGTTACTGTAGCCAAATCTTCCTCTCCATGTCTTTTGTGGTTAATGTGAATTCGAATGACAAAGTTCACCAAATCTGAACTATAAGACACGCCCTGCAGCAAGAACACAGATTACTCCAGATCTGACATTATTTACATACACAACTGTGTTAAATAAATAAACATTTGAGCATTTCTGATGAAAAGGAAAAACATTAGAAATAGGCCCCTAAACTTGGGCAAAATTCAAGGAATTCTTAATTGATTTGTAAAGTTCCTAAACAGAGAAACCGGCCCATTAAGCTCTTAACCCTTAACAGAACAGTCCATGTTCTGTGCATGAATGCATTTTAAATTTCTGTTTTCCCTATTAAATGTGATGTTTCAAAAGAATGGATTTCAAATTAAGATAATCGCTTTAAGGCATGTTAACACAAATGTCTTACTGCCAATCTCAGCTCAGCATGGAAACACTGTGCCTTACAAACCCACCTGATCAGTCTCAGACTGGTGAAATCTCAATTAGCTTCAACGCATTTTTACATGAAGTGAGGACTCAGGATTTTGTCCTCCATCTTTCCTAACAGCAGAGAACTATTGCAACAAGAGGAGTCACCACAGCAGTCAACACTTTCAGTGACTGTGTGTGTCAAAATTCTTGACTTGGAACAATGAACTTAAGTAATCTCTGTTTGTAACACACACACACACACACACACACACACACACACACACACATTTCTATGTAGTGCAACATGCTATCACACAACAAAGTGCACGGCCCTGAGCTTCAACATCATCATCACTTTTCTGCTACATCAGCAGTGGTAAGTGTTTCAGGGTCATGGTACAGAGTTAAACAATCTCATCACACCAACACACATCAGTGCTCTTATAAAAGAAAATGTTAGAGGTCTGCCTTTTATTTTCTGCAGCACTATACGGGTGAGTTGGTGAGGATAATGTACAGAATGCCTCCATCTGCACTTCCTGTCTGCTGTACAAAGGCACAAACACACACACAGTTTAAAGCTTTTCCTGACTAGCAACTGTGTTCCCTTGTAAAATAAGATACTTGCTCTCCTGGGTTTGTCTCACACACACACACAAACACACACACTTTCCTTGTGTGACAGGGTGGAGTTTCCTGAGGAGTGAGTGAAGTTGAATGCTTTGAACACCACCCCACTCCAATGCATGGGTGGGATGTGTGTGTGTGTGTGTGTGTGTGTGTGTGTGTGTGTCTTCCTCAAACTAAATCCAGCATTTAGTTTCTTTAAAGAAAATGTGGTTAGAATTTTTCAGCACCAATCACGAGCACGTCTTATCTACACAACACGTATGTCTGTTTGTCCAGAAAGAAATTATTTAAGCAGCTTTATCACAAATCACTTCAGACATAAAACAGTCAGAAATGTGCACTGCCACAGAGACAACGAAGAGGATAAACAAATACAAACAGCCTCTCTAAACTAGTGTTAATCCAAGCTTTTTATATATTGAAGCTCCGGCTGAACCAACTGGTCTGCTGGAAATAGTCAAGTCATTTTAAGGGCAAAACAAAAGATTTTTCTATACGCCAGTCATTTAATTATATAAAGCAGGGGAGAAAAAGTATTTTATATTCATTGATCAGTTAATTAACAGATCAATTTAATAAAGTGTCACAGATTATTGAGACATGAAGTTAACAGTGAGCACAGTCTATCAGGTAGCCAATCAGAACTCATATTTTTACAAGTATCTATTTTTTTCTTACATACATCTTTAAAATGACTGAAATGGAAGTTGTAAACAAACAAACAAACAAACAAACAAACAAACATTAAATGCCACACTAAACTACTGGAAAATATAAAATAAAAAAAATAAAATAAAATCAGCAACATTCAAGAATAAGAAGTCTTAAGCCCTTCATTAAGACAGAGTTTAAGAACCTTTTTAAATCATGGCAATAGCCACTTAGCACTGACGTTACACAAGAATTCCAAACATTCAGAAGGAATTCCACTAGAGCTCACTGCTGCTCGTGACATGACTAAATAAGCATTTTCTCTTGTCATGATGTCCAGCTATGCAATCACAAACGCTTCATTCATCCCGTGACCCCGTTATTACATCATCACAAAGGTCTGATGTTCAATAAATGGTTTTGTGCCGCCGTCTCGGAGCAATACAATGATGGATGGACACACAGGGTGACACCAGCGCAATGTAGCTACTAATACACTGTGTAAATCAATGGACCTTTGTAGTGCACGATTAAATATGACTAATAAATAACCTTTAAACATGATCAAAAAAAACAAAAACAAAAAAAACAAGGTTTCTGCAAGAGAAAGTTAGTGAACCCTTTGGTCACAGTGGGTTCCAATCTTAGATCAAGTGACAGACAAATAGCTTTAAGTCTTTATTTAACACAGCGTAATCAGTCACAATGCAGGCTGGGAAAAGTATGCCAGCTCTTGGTTTAGTAACTAAAAAACCACATTTAGCTTCAACACCCTCTATAAGATAAGTAGCTGCTTATGACACATACACCACAATGATGAGAATTTGGGAACATTACTCCCAAAACGTGGTTTTTAATACAATTATATTGGCATGTTTGTGCAAAATGTCAGCCCATGCCACACCACCTCAGTAGCATTAAGATCAAGACTCCAAAAGTTACCTGTGATCAGGTTTTAAAAGTATTCAGAGATGCACAAAGTCTACTTAATGAAAAAGTCTCCTCATATCAAGAAAGACTGGTCGATATGAATCATATCTTGATCACAACTTTCTCAGTTTCATGTCTAAATGCCCCATGTTCAAACATCTACCGTAAGACAAAATGTCTACGAAATCAAAAGCTGCTACATCCCATAGCAGAGGATATCTTATAAAGATTACACAAAGACGATTAACTACAGCAAAGACTTGCAGAAATCTGAATCTGTGCCCATTCTGTTGAGTATGAGGCAAATACTGATTGAGAACGGTTCTGCAAACACTGCCCAACCAAAAAAAAAAAGAAAAGAAATGAAAAAACACATGTCAACTGTTAAGCATGGTGGAGGAAGCACTGAGGTTTGACACTAGTTTGCTATGTGAAGGCCCGGATGCTAAAAATGGACCCAATTTATATAGTTTTTCTGGTCTTCTCAACCAGTCATTCAGTGCTTTAACTCTACACATACAGCACTCTCTCAGACACCCGATGATGTTTCACAGTTGGTAGCGTTTAATATTTTACCTAAGAAATTATGGATTGGAGTAAATTTACAGAACAATATCAGGTCAGCTGTTAAAATAAGTTAGGATGAAGCAAGAAAACAAGAAATTGAAACAACTGCTTGAGAGAAAAGAACATGCATTTCAAAAAGAATTGGCTACTTTGAAGATAATTCTGATTTTATTTGTCTAGAATTGTGATTGAGAGGAGCATCACACCACTATTTATGAGTGGCCCATACAGGCAGCTTTTGCAGCCCTGACGAAGACTCGGGACCGTTGCTCTCAGGGACAACCAATCAGCAACTATAACATGACTCCAATCTCCTGCCTTAGTACAAAATAGATAAAACGCCCACAAAGTACTTGTTATGACTGGTCAAGCCTCTGAACAGCCTTCAGCTAATGTATCATTTTCAAAGCAAAGTAATGAAGAGTTGTAGCGCAGACTGATAACTTGCCATTATTATTTCCTCTATAACAATGGCACTTATTGTTTGTCAGTGTGTTGACACTGAAAAAGACAGCGCCCTAGATATAATAAACACCACTTTACTATCCTAGGCTGACAAAGTGTGACTGAATGTGCTTACACAGCTGACTGACCTTATCCAGAATGAACTTGTTCAGGTATGGCATGTATCCCTGGTTGGAGACAGGACCCTCGTCATCATCTTTGAAGTGCTCCTCCAGAGCCACCGGGTCATGGGGAATGTTCATGACTGTACATAAGTTGTGGGACAGCACCTGAAATCAGAGGTGAAAACAATACTTACTAGTTATTATAACGATCGATTGATATGTTTAACTCAATTTCAGCTAATAGTTATGAGTTACATTCCATTTAAGCCATGTCTTGGTTACATTTCTTGAGAAATGCACTCAAGGCATGCAGATTACATGAAAGGTTACAGTGTAGGGTTAAAGTTGTAGGCTACAGTCGACATTTACAAAATAAAACAAAATGTAAATACTGTTCCCTGTCATACAAAGGCCCCTGCCCAGAATTCCTTTTGACGACTCGCAGCCATGTGGGGTTGCACATGTGGACATGACAGCAGTAATTGGAGAATAAGTGTGGCGCAACCAAGAGAACCACAAAGGAAGGTGTTTCACCATTTTCAACAGACGTGGAGCGTCTTAAAGCTGCATTGCATTTGTTTCTCCTTTTTTAGGCAGACACACAGTTGTGTAGAAACTAGTCTTACTATTGTGCAAGTAGCAACAGGGACATTCCCAGGATAATAAAAAAA